AAAAAAATGTTGTACATATTATTTTTGCAGGAAAACCTTCTGATTCAAGAAATTGGAGAACTAATGAAGACTCGGAGGACTAGCAACAATATCAACCGGTCAAGAATCCAAAGTACGAAGATCGAAGATAGCACTCGGAGGACTTGTTTACTTTTTCAAGTTGATGATTCTCACAACTTAAAAAAGTGGAGGACTTATTGATGGGAAATAATACGTGGCTCGGCCCACATTTCCCAATTATTTTACGAAGAATAGTCAAATCGGGCCTGTTTCATAAAATAGAGGAATAAGAGAATATTCCTCCAAAGATGCTCCCCCTCCCTCCTATAAAAGGAGGGGTGGCCCTAATGTGAAGAGGAGGCCAAACTCACTCTCTTCCCTGCCCATTATACTTTCTCTCTCTAGAGTTTTATATATTTTCTTCTTAAAGAGCTTGTAGCTCCACCATTAATGGCTTTCGAGCCCGATTCTTGTACCGTGTACACACCCCCGATATCAATAAAAATCCCCCGTTGGCAAGGTACCGCCAAAAAAGGCCCGTGGTTTTCTCCCGATTTGGGTTTCCACGTAAAAATCCCCGTGTTTATAGTTTGGTGTATTTTTAGACTAGTTTATCGTTTTAGCCGGGCTAAAACGATATACCGGTCGATAATTTACACCATCACATCCGTTGATTTATTTCCATTTATACTAAAATTTATACTAAAATATATTATGTTGAATATTTACTTCTTGCCATTTTTAGTTGATATTTTTATACTAATGATTAAATTTTACTCATTGATTGATTTACATTTATGTTAAAATTAATTATGTTGAATATTTCTTTCTGAATATTTTCCAAAAATAAACCCTATTGCAAGGCTATTTAATAAACTATTTATAAAAACATATACTAATGAAAAAATGCCTCAAAGTGAGATAAGGATGTCATTTTTGAAAAAAACATAGGAGGTAAAAGTTTGAGAAAAAAACCAATAAGCACCTGCACAACGAAACATCCCATAATAAGCTCATTATATAATAAAAAGTTCATATATAACAAATTTTTCTAAGATAAATCTAGACCTCTCAATATGTAATAAAAAGCATATATATAATGAAAAATAAAAATACAAATAATATTACTCATTTTCCTTATAGAATTCTTGACCGTGACTAATAAAAATATTTATATTTATTTATTAATTAAAATTCATATATAACAAATTTTCCTATAATAAATCTAGATCATCCCTATAAACTTTGGTTGTGATTAATAAAAGTATTTATATTTATTTAATTATAAAAGTCTATATACAACAAATTTTCTTAAAATAAATCTAGACAACAGCTAAAACCTATGATCATTATAAATAAAAATATTCATATTTATTTATTAAAGTCCACATGTAACAAATTTTTCCTAAAATAAATTTAGAGCACCAGCTGCAATTAAATGATGATGGTGTTAATCTCAATGTATAATAAGCTCTTTATATTAGAAAAAATCCATATATAACAAATTTTCCTAAGATAAATCTAGACCTCTCCATGTATAATAAAAAGCATATCTATGATGAAAAAATATAAATAATATTATGAATTTCCCTCCAAGAACCTTTGACTGTGATTGATAAAAATATTTATATTTATTAATTTATTTATTAAAGTTCACATATAGGGCCTGCTTGGGAATTGCGCTAGCGATTAGCATCAGCGTTTTGATAAAATTTTAACGGTGCAGATTAATTTGAAAACGCTAACGCTAAACGCTGCCCGTAGATAGCCTTTTGAAAACGCTAACGCTAATCGCTAAAGCTATTTCCAAACAGGCCCATAACAACTTTTCCTAAAATAAATCTAACCATCCCTAGAAACTTAGACCTTGACTAATAAAAATATTTATATTTATTTATTAAAGCCCATCTATAATAAACTTTCCTAAAATATATCTAGATGCACGTCTATAAATTTCGACCATGATTAATAATAATATTTATATTTATTTATTAATTAAATTATAAAGTCCACATATAACAAATTTTCCTAAAATAAGTTCTCTCCATATATAATAAAAACTTTTAACACATCTTTATTAAAGTCCATATATAAAAAGTTTCCTAAAATAAATCTAGACCAACCCTTAGAAACTTTGAAAATGATTAATATATAGAAAATATTTATATATTTTTTTATTAATGCCCATATATATAAAAAATCCAAAAATAAATCTAGGCCACCCCTAGAAATTTGACCGTGATTAATAATAATATTTATGTTTATATTTATTTATTATATTCCATATAAAACATTATATTCATCCTTTAAATATATCCAAACCTCTCCACGTATAATAAAAAGTCAACACATCCATGGGCGGGAAAACTGATCAAAGAATTCACCTCTTTTTAAATGAAGTATAAATGATGTCCTGTCTAAAAGCATGCATTAATATATTTCCTTAATTAAGGTAATAATTGCTTGAATTACATCGTATTTTATTCCCAATTACTTTAATTCATAGTTTTAAAAACCGGACCGGACCGGACCGGCCGGTCCGGACCGGGAACCGGTGAACCGGCCATTGAAACGGTCCGATCCGGGCAATCAGACCGTATCCAGCAGTGAACCGGCGGAAACGGGTTAAAACCGGTGAAACCGGCCGGTTTTACCGCCAGGTTTTTAACTATTTTTGTAGCTTTTTAAAAAAACACATCTCTGGGATTCAAACCCAGAATGTATGGATGAAATGGGCAGACGGAGACCATCTCTGCTAGAAAGGATGTTGGTGACTTTCTACTTTGCGTTTATAATATTCTTAACCTAAATTTTTAAAATATGTATACATACTTAGTTTTTTTTAAGGAAAATTCAAAACCCATTGATGTAATTGATATGGAGTGCATATCACACAAATATTATATATATTTTTAAATAATAGGTAAAATGTTTAAAAAATATTCAAATAACATTTTATTTATAAACTTTTTTCAATAATTATATTTTATTTTTTATTTAATGACACAACTCAAGTAAATTAAGTTAAATTATAAATTTATTAAAACATCAATTCTTTATTTATAAATAGAGGAAATATTATTTTATTTACTCATATATTATTTTCTTAATTCAATGCCACAAGGTGTCCATACATACATATATATATACATACATACATACATACATAGATACATACATACATACATACATACATACATACATACATACATACATACATACATACATACATACATACATACATATATATATATATATATATATATATATATCTTTATATTAATTTATTTATATATATATTTTTATCTATTTATTAAAAATGTTTGAACCACCGGTTTGACCAGTTGAACCACTGGTTCGACCAGTGAACCAGTACTTTGACCGGTTCGGTCACCGGTTCGGTTCTGAAAACTATGCTTTAATTACAATGTAATACTTCAGGATGAAATTGTACACCACTTTAATTCCAATACGTTTGTGTTAATTGCAACTACCTTAAATACAATATATTAAGGGCCTATTCTTTTGGACTTGAATTTTTAACTTCCAATTTTTTCCAGTTCCTTCCAGTTCTTTCTAGTTTCTTCCAGTTTCTTCCCGTTCCTTCCAGTTCCTTCCAGTTTCTTCCAGTATCTTCTAGTTTTTTCCAGTTTCTTCCAGTTGCTTCCAGTTTTTTCCAGTTTCTTCCAATTTCTTCTAGATTTTCTTGTTTTTTCCAGTTTCTTCTAGTTTTTTCCAACTATATTTATTTTTTTCAAATTCTTTCTACTTTCTGACAAATCACTCTAAAAAATATATTATTATTATTCTTACAGTTTTTTAATTACAACTTTTATGTTGATAACTATAGTTTATAAATTATTTCATTTTGTCATCTCATTATTTTTATGATTCATATTCATTATTTTTTTCTTCAACTTTTTAATATGAATAATACCATTTTTTTTGTATATAAATCTACAAGAAAAAATAGGAAACTATTTAAAAAATTATGGTTAAATAGTTATATACGGAGTAGAATATTTTTTAATCTAAATTTATATAAGGTAAACATCAATATTTTAATCTAAAATATAGTACCTTCAATTAAGTTTAACTACATTGTAGAATATTAAGTCCTAGTTCATCTCTAAATATTTTTTTAAACTATCTTTTTATGTATGAAAATAATATTCGTAATATTTTTTTTATTTTAAAAACAATCATTTAGATAATGTAATAACACCACCACTACCACCACCACCACCACTAACAGCAACAACAACAATAATAATAATTATTATTATTATAGCAATAATGATAATTTATATCAACAAGAATCAGAATGAGAATAATTTAAAACCACACATAAAAAATTTTTAAAAACTTTTTTTAGATTTTACAATTTATTCTAGTTTTTTCAGTTTCTTTTAATTTTTTCCTGTTTTTCCAGTTTTTTCCAGTTCTTTCTAATTCCTTCCAGTTTCTTCCAGTTCTTCCAGTTTCTTCCAGTTCCTTCTAAATTCTTCCAGTTTCTTCCAGTTTTCAGCTCTTTTTTCCAGTCCTAAAGAACACGTCCTAAATCGGAGCTATATTAAAATGAAGAATAACCGTAGATCGATTGAAATCAACGGTGCAAAATCTTAATGCTTTGGGCGGGAAAAGGTTGGGGCTTTGACGTTGATATATAATATTTCATTACAAAATTTGAATATTGATAGAATATTTATTTGTATTTTGTATTATATATTTAAGAAAATTATAATTATTAGGAAAAAATTATAGAATACACTAAACCATATAACTTTCCTTATTATTATTTTCCATATAATATATTGAAACGCACAATGTAGTACTATTATTTATTAAACATTTTATCTTTAATTAGGTGATATGGAATCCTTATTTTATTTTAGAAAACTATATATGGTTAAAATTTATCCATAATGAGGAAACCATTTAATGTGTATCTTTTCATTAACCATTTGATAAAACATCTAAGGGCCTGTTTGGCAACTTCTAAATAGATAAGTGCTTAACCAGTAAGAGGTCTGAACCATTAAGTGCTGAACTAGTAAGAGGTTTGAACCATTAAGAGCTAGTATATTGCTTAACTATTCAGAGACAAAGGTCTGATCAATTCAGATAAGAACTCTTAACCATTCAGACGCTGTATAATACTTAACCATTCAGAGGCAAATCTCTCAACCATTCAGACATCTGAACCATTAAGAGACTGAAACAAACAGTCTGAACCATTAAGTGCTGAATCATTC